AGGGGTAGGAGAAGGGAAGCAGGAGGTAGGAGGGGTAGAAGAAGGGAAGTAGGGGGTAGGAGGGGTAGGAGAAGGGAAGCTGGGGGTAGGAGGGGTAGGAGAAGGGAAGCAGGAGGTAGGAGGGGTAGGAGAAGGGAAGCAGGAGGTAGGAGGGGTAGGAGAAGGGAAGCTGGATCCAGGAGGAAAGCGGTCCTTGACGTGCCGCTGAGTCAGGGCCATTTCCTGGTGCCGACGCTTCAGTCAGGATACCCCGATTCCTGCCCTCGAGTTAAACATCCGATGGCCAGACTGCCCAACACTGCGCTCAGAGCGCAGGAAACACGTATCTTCCAGCGCCCCCAAATGCAGGCCCGGTTGAGCCCCCTCACACCATTCCCCGCTCCAGTTCCCCCTCACCATCCAAGTTCACGGTCCACGTTCCTCATTACGGACTCCTTCCACCCTTCGGGCTCCTAGCAACTTCCGGTTTGCGGGCGGCCACAAGTCAGGACAGGGGCGGGGAGCGGTGACCCGGGACGAGCTGGGGGGGAGAGAGGCGGGGCGTAGCGAGGGGCGGGGCGCCGAGGGCGGAGGCGGGGCGGGGCGTAGGGAGGGGCGGGGCGCCGAGGGCGGAGGCCGGGCGGGAGGAGGGCAGCGGATCCGAGAGAGTTGTAGCGAGGGGCGGGGCGCAGAGAGACCCAGCGTCCTCGGGTCCGCGTTCCGCTCAGGGAGGGGTCGATTTTGCTCAGAATTTTCCTGCAGAACTGAAAGGGGTAGGGAGAGAACTGAAAGGGAGATGAAGAGCCGAGGAGAATGTTCTTGACACCATGAGCTTTCAGCTTTCTTCCTTCTCACTTTTGAGTCTCTCAAAAGCCCCGTGCCCCAGGGAAGCGCTTCTCTGTGGACTAGACCCCTCTACACGATCAGGCAAGTGGTTAAAAACCTACAGAATCAAACCACCCCGGACCTACAGAATCAGAAACTGGCATAACCCCGCCCCGTAAGTCTTTTTATCAGCAGGTTCTCCAGGTGATCTGGAGGCACACCCGTAGGTGGCCCAGGTCTGCCACCGCGCACACCGTCTTGGAGTTTTAGTTCTTAAAGCCGAGCGCACACGCAGGGGATTCCAACACAGAGCCACCAGCTGGTCACATCTCCTCGTGTTTCCTAGTTAAGAGTTTCCCAGCTCTTTAGAGGTCAAGAGCTAGCTGCCTGCAGGCGTGGGTAGCTAGGACGTAGGAACCAGTTTTCCGGACACTTGGCTCATGAAAAACCACAAAAGAGAAGTGTTTATATGTTTTGAGTTATTTCGTCGTCCAGGGTGGTCCTGAAGTCTATTTGAGGAGTCAGCCCTTGGTTTGGGGAAGTCATGGGGTCGCACTTGGCACACTTAACACTTGTGACCCTGAATTTTTTAGGGCGGAATAAGGCATCTTGGATTTCGTCCAGGTAACTCAATTGCGGTTGGGAATTTAGCTAGTGTGGAGAGTGCTGCCCTCCACTGACGATATAAATGCAATAAATTGTCTCTGCTTTCCAAAACTATATTACTTGGCTCATTTACTGTGTATATTGAAGATTCTTTGACTGGTTCACATTCTTTTAATTCTTGGGAAAGGTAAGGCGTGACTATGATTTTCACCAGCCATATATCAAAAGGGCAGAGGCATGGGTGGTTTGAAAATACTGTGTTCTCTGGGCTGAGAATGTAGCTCAGTGGTAGAGTGCTTGCCTAGTGTGCCTGGGGATATCATCCCCAGCACTGCAAGGAAAGAAAGAGAGGAAGGAGGAAAGGAAAAGAGGGAGGGAAAGGAAAGGAAAACACCAAGAAGTAAATTGTGGGCTTAAAACTGCTTCCATTTCTCCCAGTCTTTGGATTCACTTGGCAAATCAGGGGTATGGTCAATGAATAGAAACTGTCTTCTTCCTTTGAATGCAATTGAATTATCTTGTGCTTTTATTAGTACGCTTTGTTAGCTTTTAAGCACTGGAAAGTTTTTGAGCAGCCACACAAGTTGTTCTCTGAAAAGCAGTGCCTTTGAAACCTTAGTAATAATTCGGTGTAGAAAAAAGTGGACACTGGTAATGTTGAGAATGCCTTTTATTGTGGGGAAGAGACAGTAGGTGAAGACAATATTTACTCTTGCAGAAATATCATAGAAGGATGGGTAAATATCAGCAAAATATACTACAGCCAATGAGAAGTTGTCAGTTTCTCAGAAATAGCCAATGTGATGTAAATGAGTTGTTGAATATTTAATGATATAATTGAATAATCATTATTTTGTATCCATGACACCTGTTTGTATCTATGACCTGTTTGGCTCCTGTGTCATTTTTGTCTTGGTCAGTTCAAATTGTGCAAAAGCAAACATTTACTGGGAACTAGTGCACACCAGGTCCCAGTGCAGWGGTTCTAGCCTCAGTTCTTAAGGAGATGGAAGTTGGACTTTCAAAGAAGCAGGTAAGCAAATAGATCACTGAAGTGTGTGATTTATTTCCTCTTCCCACCAAAACCCACAAACATAAAACATGTTATCCCGAAGTGGGTTGTCCAGTTTTTAATTTTGTTCACGGTCTTTTGGGTTAAAAAAAATAAAATTTCAATAGCTTCTAATACAACCAGTGATAGCAAATATATATAAGCCATTTTCYTCATTGGTTGGATCACATTATTTGAAATGGTATTTTTCTTTCCTGAATGTTCACAGATATATGTGTTCTATTGTGTGTCTTAGATCTGAACTAGAGTGGGACAATACTCAAATTCCTCATCCATTCAGGTTTTTCTTCCTATCATGATCTGCTCTGCATTTGGGCTTCCCACARAGTTCCCACCTCTGGCTCTTCTCCTGTTTTCAGGATTTTCTTCCTTGTCTGTGGTCTTTTGGCTCAGTGCTTGTCTTTGGTGGTTTCCCAAACTCTCCTTTTTATCTTTTTTGTAGACACTCAGTCCTCATCCCTGTCCCTCTCAATAATTATTTCAGAAGATATCCTCACATATTTATTCACTGATGGCAGCCATCTGGTCATCAAGCTCCTCTAAGCATCTTTAATTTACCCCATTTTACAGTTGCAGTCAACTCAGCGACAGAACCAGCAGCAAACACCAGGACTCCTTGTCTTCCATACTTACGTATTTGGATTATTATTATAATAGCTGATAAAGTCATAAATAAGGATGGGCAATTCATTCACTTTGATGGCAATTGTTCTAGGTTAAGGACAAGTCTTCAGCCATCTTTTCTCTGAAATGATTCAAAATCTTCATAATACTGCAAGTCATGCCAATGGACATCAGGGGGCATAAGAGATGCCCCCCCCACACACCAAGGGTCACAAGAGACCCTCTCCCACAAGCTTTTATTTCTTCATGGTGTATATACTTTTCTGTTGTGAATCTTGATCTCTCCTGCCCAGTATAAACATCTAATTGGCTCTGCATGACTGAAAATAAAACATCTGGGCCAAAAGTATATAGTACTTGGGTTCTCCTGATCCAAGGAATATGTTTGCTCCCATTGCAGTGACTGAGTGCCTTTCCCTCTTGTGTCAAGAAGCATCCTTCTACTTCAGAACATTAGGAAATGTTCAAAAGGTGCTTTAGATCCTGTGGCATTCAAGACTTTTAACCACATATACCTAATTAAATAATAATTAAAACATGATTTCTTTCTTGAGTGATACTGTTGTTTGTTTGGATGGTTTCATTTCCCAAATAGTCTGTGATCCAATAACAATGAATTTTTCCTGGTGGGAATTCTGAAGTGTTTGCCTACTTTGGGTAAGTATCAGCTGTAGTTTGGGCAGAGTTAGGACTTATGCAATTAATAGAAAAGAAATGACAATGTCCCCCATTTGCTTCTCTTGTCTTCACTGCTGGGCCTCCCTGCTCAGACTCCCAATTAGGTTATGTTCCAACTACAACATAACCTTGGCAGATGTACTAAAGAGGGCTTATTTACCACATTCTCTGCTTGTAGGACTTGCCCCAGGTTCCTTAGCATGGGCACTAGGTCCTTACAGCAGGTCCCGACCTCCCCTTCCATCTCCACTCTCCAGCACCTCTCCATGCACCACACTCCAGGCACCAGGACTTGTTAGTCTTCTGGGTTTTCAGACTAGTCCCTTTTTTTTTTTTTTGCATAATCCCTCTTCCTACCTGAAACACTCTTTTCCTCTTCTCATCCCATCCAGGGGAAGTTTCCTCATTGGCCCTCTCCTCAGTGCCCTGGTTAACTAGATTCATGGTAGCACTTCTAGAGGTTCAGAGCATGATACTGAGTTTGGTGCTTTGGTGTTCTGAGTGCTTTAAACTAAAGGAGATTGGAAGGCACTTAGAAGCAAAGTCTCTTGGACCTTCTTCTGTCTTCTAGTCTCCGTCTCCCTCAAAGCCATCAGAGAAACAAGAATTCCTCTTCCCCGAGGTGGGTCATAGAAGCTAAAATCTCTCCCTCCTCTTTTCCTCCAAAGCAAGCCATAAAATCTAGAAAGATTGCATTCTCCCCTTTTCCTTCACCCTTTTTTAAATACCCTCTGAGGGTCTTGCCATAGCAGGAAGAAGGGATGCTACACAGAAAGACCAAGAAGAATCTGAACATACAGGCCTTGCTGGGTTTCCCTACTCAGTCTATTACTGTTTTCTCAAATACTTTTGTCCAATTACATTCCCACACAGCTGTTCATCCTTTACCTAACCTAAGCATAAAAATGGATAGTTTTCCCTGGATCTGTGTGTCTGAAGCTCTTGTGTCATGTAAAACTTTGGTTCAATGTATTTGTTATGTTTCTCTCTTGTTAACCTGTGTTTTGTTATGGGAGTGTTGACCATGACACTTAGGATGGGGAGGAAAGGAATCACATCTATCCACCTCTACATACCTTATTAAAATCTTTGTTTATCTCATTTGTCTGCTTCCTGTACACTGTCTTTTTACTTTTATATCCCCAGTGGTTAGCACATTGTCTAGCCCATAGGAGGTGAAAAATAAAAGTTTGCCTGATAAAGTTTTGGTTGCATTAACAGATTGAGCCATGGCTGAGCTATTCTGTAGATTCAGTGTCCCTGGGCAATGAATGATTGGCAAGTTTTAACCGGACCTTTAAAATTCTTTCTTATGAGAGCAACAAATATGGTAGAAAAAAAAATCCAGACCTAGTAGTCTCTAGAATCCACCATGTCTATTCTACAAGGCACTTTTGATCTCCATCTGCTGTTTCAGAGAGTGTTCCTGAATACAAGTAAGACAGTTCACCCAGGTCAAGCAGTTAGCAAAGAACACAACGTCCAAAGAGGCTGTAAGCGCTGATTTAATCTCCCAACTCTGCAATTTCTTAAATGCCTGAAAGCTAAATTTCTTGATACTAATTTCAGAAGAAGCAATGAACTACAGTTCAGGCTATCCAAACAAAAAATTCTAATGTAGGAAGTAAAATTATATCACACTTCCTTGCACATTTCTTCCCYTGTGTGTACCGATCTCCCAACTTGGAGGAAAAAAAATATTTTTTTAGATTTTTTTTTCCTATACAATACATAATAATTCCCCTTCCCCTCTCTTGTCCAGTTTTAAAATAGCAACTCCAGCTGCTGTTAGACACTCTTTKGGGATTTAAGGCCACTAATCAATTTCACAGCTGGAAGCAAAGCACTTTCCTTGAAATATTTTGCACATGACATGTATAGAGGGTACTTTGACCTTGGGAGAGCAGCCAGAGCTCTGAAGGAGCAGAAAAGGATGCTGACCTGCCACCAAGACTTTAAGGAGGGTGAGGCAGCTGCAGGCAGGCCAAGCTGTTGCTAGCTACCCTATCCTGCTCTTG